GGTCAGAACCAGTTCTGGACAATGGAAGGACCGTTTTACCTCCAGAACCAATCGGGTCTTTCTGGACAGTTTCTCAGTGATCTTCAACAATCTGAGTCACTTCAGTCTAATGTTGAGTCACCACTGGACACATTTCTGGTCATTTTAGCTGCTTTTAGTGTCATTCTGGAAAACTAAGTATTTTTGGACACTTTTTACAAGTTACTACAAATAAAAGGTCCCATTTTAACCCAGAAACACATTTCTGAGTCACTTTGGACAAAGTTTAACTGTTTCTGTCAAATTCTGAGTAATTTTGATTAACTTGAGTTTTGTGTGTAACATTGGACAACTTTCATTTCATTTTAACAAAGCTGTGTAATTTGTTTAACACTTTTTTTAGTCAGTTTCAACAGTTTGTGTGATGGCGGTTGGTCAGAACCACTTCTAGACAACGTAAGGACCATTTTACCTCCAGAACCTATCAGAACCACCTACAGACAGGATTCACTCTGTGGCAGAATCATTTTCTTGGTTACTTGGTTCTAACAGAGATTGTTAGATTTCATTTGTCTGCTTTACTTATGAAGCTCTGAGGTTCAGAAATGATGAAAGTTGGACCCTCGTCTATGTACTTCAACTCTAAAAACTCTGCCTCATTGAATAAAGTTACTGTGGATGAAGAGTCAGCTGGTTCTGAGGAGATCTTTGGGGAGCGGTTTCCTACCTGTTGGACCTCTTGCACGGGGAGACCGACGGGCTGGACTGGAGCGAGTTGGAGGCGAACGAGCTGGTGCTGAGGCTGCTGTCGGGGCTGCTCAGGGAACACACTCTCTCCATGGACACGCTGGTGTTTCTGCAGGCCTCACACACACACTCCTCCTTACACCTGCAGACACACACACACTTTATCACCATCAGACCGTCCACGCCTCGCCAGCACACGTCCGCCGGGCCGATACCGATCAGCGTCTGATAGCAGGGATCCTGTCATTCATAAGCAGACTTCCTCATCGATAAGGATTACTATTCCTGAATAGACGCGATAGCATCACGTGACGCTAGAACACTCTCCTTTACAACAGTCTATCTCCTGCTTTGTTAATTTTCAACTGTTCCGTCACTTCTATTGCCCGCTAACGTCCAGATCTTCAAGCAGTTTTAGTTACTGTTTTCCAGACACTGTTTCAGGGTCGTCGCCGCTAGTCGTTAGCATAGCCTTAGCCACTGTGAAAGTAGCCAATGTCCCGATTTGTGGAGGTTGCTGAGCCTTTTGTTCATGTTCTTGCAGGTTGTACATCTAAAACTTTATTTTATAAATATGTTACAGTACTCCAGATAGCGCTAGCTGCAGGCTAAAAGGCACAACTAACCTCTCAGTGACAGCTTTAGCCTCGCACTTTTAGCAAATTAAGCTCCAGCTGCACTGACACCAATAAGTGAATTATTCTGGCTTTTTTTTTTTTTATAGCATAACAGCTTGTTTAAGTTATTACGTTAGAAAGATGCTATAGTGCTCCAGATTCGCTAGCTGCAGGCTAAGAGGCACAGCTAACCTCTTAGCCTTAGCCTAGCAACATGAGCTAAATACGTTCCAGCTGCACAGACACCAACAAGTGAATTATTTGGGTATTTTTCAGTGTTTTGCTCGTGATGTGTGACCAATCAGATCCAAAGCAGCACACTTAACGTATGTTTTCTGCGACTGGTTTGTTAAATAGAACAGAATGTCAGAAAACAGCAGCATATCGGCTCTGAAAGGCAGAAGCTGCAGGTTCACAGAAGCTTCTTGACATAATCTTGGCTCTCCGGCTGCGTCCCACTCACTCGTTCAGACGGCACCGCTGAGGGTCTTCATCCCCCCTCTCGTCCTCGGCGTCGGTCAGGTCGCTCCGGATGCTGATCACGCTGGCCGCCGGGCTCGGCGTGTCGCCCATCAGGACCGCCACGTCTCGCTGCTGCTGCCGCGACAGATTGCCGCCCGGCGCCGCCTCCTTGAAGCAGCTCACCTCCTCCTCTGTGTCGTCTTCCTCCTCGTCCGTGTTCTGAACTTCCGGCTGCCGGGTTTCCACCAGCGGCGCCGTCCTCTGAGGCTCCTCCCGCCCCGCCACCGCCTGCCCAACAACGTCGGCCATTTTGGGGGTCCGACACGCCGATATGTGGATGTTGCTGGGGTGGGACAGGTTCCTTTAAATCAGAATAATTATCGTATTAGACATAAACAGAGCATCAGGGCAGTTTGACCTCAAAGGAGCAGAGTCTCACCTGTTGTGACCGTGTCGGTTCCTCTTATTGGCCGGCTGAGGCCACACCACATGAGCTATGCCGATGTTGATTGGCTGGTGAGCGGAGAGAGCCGGCATCTGATTGGTCAGGAGCGGCTGCTGCATCACTGCGTTGTAGTGGCTGCTGTGGGGACGAACTTTCCTGTTGACACACGATGGAAAAGTTTCCTGAGACCTCCGAATGAGAGAGCGATGAAGTGGTCTCTGTGTAGTCGTACGACCTGAATATCTGAAAACCAACTAAATCTGAAAGAAGCTCCCTCCTGACGCCCTCAAAATCTGCTTTTTCAAAACTGTCTGACAAATTTTTACCTTCACACTATGAATATTTTTAACATTTTTAACAATAAAGGAGGCTCCAGACATCGATTGTTTGTTTTTTTTTTTTCATTCATTTCATCGTTTGAGCCTGAAAATAAATCAGGATTTTCCAATATTTTTCTAAATTTGTAAAACTGACACAATCAGGTTCACAATGACAAAGAATATGTACCAAAATGGCTTTAGATTTGTCCACAATTACTCAGAAATTATCCAAAATGACTTAAAATAATTTTAAAAATTGCCAACAATGATTCTAAAATCCTCAGAAATTTGTCAAAATGGCTCCAATTGTCCAGAATAATTCCAAATGTATCCAGCACGACTTAAAAATGGTCCACAATGGCTTAAAATGTGTCTGAAATAATGAAAGGTTTCAGAATGACATGAAAATTGTCCAAATGATTACAAAAGAAGTAGTGCGCCTAATGAAACCAGGTTTAGTGCTGGACTGTGACACCTGGATGGATGTAGAACTGATCTGGTGTCAGGTTCTAGCAGAACCCAGATGTGTTCTTCCTCCTAAATGTCATGTGTCTATCTGCTGTACTGATGAAGTTCTGAGGCTCAGAAATGATGGAAAAAGTCCATTAAAGTGATCAATCTGGACCCTCCTCTGGGTCAACCAGTACAAAGGTTCTGCATGTTTTCTGTCTTTGGTTATTTCAGTTATGTAACGCTGGTGACGTATTAGCCGACACATCCTCCATCTCCATACATTCTGTGGCCCATCGTTCCCCTGGATATGAAAGGCCGAAGTCACTCTGATGAAATACTCAGTTACACTCGGCGTGTTCCATCGCTTCAGTTAAATAAATGCATTTGCACGTCACCTCCCATTTTCAACAGCGCAACAGGAACCTTAAACGTGCTCCGACCACGTTATAATTAATGACCAGAACCCTAGAATAACATTACAACCACCATTTTATATGTAATGTGGTATTTCCCAGAAATAACCGGGTTATTTCAGCGCACATTTCCACACAGGACGCAACAGGAAAAAAAAAACAAAACAGCACCACCAAGTCCCGCTAACTGGGATTTTCCAGACTTGAGCTGTGGGTGACTCAGAGCTGGGTGACTCACCCCCAGTCGCTGATCCTCTGCGGGCCGGCCGTGGTGTCGCTGGTGAGGGAGGATGGAGGCGGTGGAGGCGGGTGGGATGGAGGAGGACCCACGGGAGTCATGGGCTGCCAGGCTGCTGGGACGAGGAGCTGCTGCCCCCGACTGGACCAGGCCTGCTGCAGGACGGGGGAGGAGAGCAGTCAGATCCCTGATGCTATTATGATCCGTCATGTGTACGGATCTGCAGTGGACACGCTCTGAGAGGAGGTTTAGTCCAAGAAAAGCCTAGCAAGAAAACGGGTTTTTGTTCTGCCTTCATGCTGTGAATGTTCCAGAGTTCCAGGTCCTTGAAGTCAGGTTCTAGGACCCTCCTCCGTGGACTTCAAGGACCTGGACCTCTGGAACATTCACAGCATGAAGGTAGAACTATCCCAGAAGGTGGAACGATTCATCCCTTAACTCAGTGAATCTTACCTGAGCGATGACACCTGGCCTCACTGGTAGGGGCTGTATGGGAGGGGCCTGAGTTACCATGGGGACAGAATACCCAGCTGGTTGATTAAGGTTACCTGTAAAAGAAGAACAGAACCATCTGTTAGTTACGCAACTGAAAAGTCTGTGAATGCAGAGTAGATTTAACGGCATCTTGGTTCCACTGGCAATGTAAAAAAGGTTCAAACAAATAGTCACAATTATAACATTTGTCGGAGAAAGAAGCTGTAAAAACAAAGACAAACACCTGAATTCCAGCTTTCTGAAAGTCTTGGAATGAATCGTGCAACATTTTGGGTCAAGACAGTTAATTAATATCACAATCACACGCGTCTCGTTTAAGATTTTGCCATAAACCAGATGCTGTAAAACAAAGTTCTGAACTCCTCTGCCCGACTAAGAAGCCATAACAGAGTCGGGTCGATCAGCCGTCACATGATAAGAACTGAGCTGAGGTGCAGGCAGTGTCTACACAAAGCAGAGAGCAAAAACTACGTAGGAACTGAGGAAAATAAAACAAATTTGAGCAATAAAACTAAACGCATCATGGCTAAAGAAAACTGAGTACTGTTTTTGTCTGAGGACACGTTCAGCACGGTGAAACAAGTTTCTACAGTCGTGTGAAAAATGCAGAGTTTGTAAAAATGTGAACAGTAAATAGTCTCCAACAGTCACCATGGGCCACCATGACAAAGACATCTGTGGAGGTTCACGGCTTCCAGCTGAAGCTCCCGTAATCAAGATTAGCCAGAGTCGTCTGAGGCCACGTCTACACGTAGTTGGTATTCACAAAAACGGATCTACGTTTTCCAAAAAAAAAAATCTTTGTTCACATAAATCTGCATGAACATGTTGTTAAGAGCTGCTATGAGCTGCCAGACCTACAGGGGGCAGTGTGACGAGAAGCATGAAGCCACGCTAGCTAATCAGAATCCTGGAAATAAACACTACAACGAACGGCACAGATTACTTCCTGTCACTTCCACGATAACGGCACGAGGGTGGTTTGTTTGGACCGACGGAGAAGTGGAGCTGCTCCTACATGTGGTGTTAGAGACACAACGAGTAAAACACTGACTGTAAACATGTCAGTCCATATATGGACGTAGCCAGACTGTAAACATGGTCGCACACACATGACACTTTAGTCGCACACTGATGACGTCAAACTCCGTCTCCTCCTGTCTACACGCAAAGACGGAGTTTTTCCAAAGTTTCCAGACGTGATCGTTTTAGCTACGTGTAAACGGGGAATAGGACAGTTTCTCTAGAGAAGAAAAGCCAATAAAGTTGAGTCGCTTTTGTTGTGAATGTTAGGTCCTGTATGGGCAGGTTAACCGAGCGAGAGGCCACCATGGCAAAGACTTCTGTGGCGGTTAATGCCTCTGATCAGAGCCGACGTAATCTCAATGGACCCGAGTCAACTAGAGTTCCTACAACTGAGCAGCCTGTGTGGCGTGTCTGTGGTTGTGAATATCCCTGCAGTTTGTTTTAGCGATTAATCGATTATTTATTGACAACGAGTACGGTTAACACCTGAGGACAACGTAACACATGTTCATTCTAGGTTTCTCCAGGAATTTCTACTTTTGTCTCCCTAATGTTTTCCACTATTGTGCACGACTCGTTTTTGGTGCTGGACTTTCTGTAGCAGTGAAAAATGAGCCCACAGTGAGGAAAAATGTGACTGGAGCAAAAAAAATATGCCTCGCTTGGAGATTCAGAGGGTGAACTTATAAAAAAAAACAGTTCTGTACAGTGCACTCACCTTGCATGGCAGGAGGACAGAGCAGAAGGGCCGGTGGAAACGAGTCGCTGCAGCCGAACTGACCGCTCCCCGTCGTCAGCGCTATCCCAGGATGCAACACTGAGGGAGCCGACTGGGTTATCGCCTGCAGGGGGGAAAGATATCGGGAGGAAATGAAGTGAACGACGAAGACGAGAGGCAAAACAAAGACTCCCACAATGACTGAGGATGACACACGTGACAGAAATAGCAGAACTGTGGTGACGCTAACCAACATTCCCTCCTGAAGGGGGCGACGTCGGGTCAACAGAAACACCACCACAACACGAGACACATTTAGAGGCATTTATTTATGCTGTATGAGAGAGACGGTGTTGTGGTTGTCTTTTTATAGCCGTGCAGACCTGAGTGTGGACTGGTATGTTGCTGTAGCCCAGAGGGAGGCCGGAGGAGGCGGCCGGCCTGGAGAAGTGAATGGTGTTCTGGTTGAGGGCGTCGAAGACCGCGTTGCTGGGCCGACTGTGGCACATGTCCATGATGCGGAAAGACGACTGCACGCTGGGAAGGGAGGAAGGAGCGAAAAGAAAACGATGGTCATCGTTCTGCACGGTTAGAGAACAGAGAACAGGTGTTGCCGAGGCTTACTGGCTGCTGTGGGGGTAGTCCAGCAGGTGGGTCATGGTGAGGAAGGGGTGGCCCAGGACGCTGGAGGGAACGGTTCTGTCCTCGGCGTCGATCAGCAGCATGCTCTTCAGCAGAGATACGAACTCCCGTCGGTCTGCTTTCTCTGCCTGCATGTCGCCGTTATCGGGAGTCAGCACCAAGTTCACCTGGTGAGAGGTTGCGAGAAGCACATTAAAGGTTGAACGTATGTGAAGAGGTTTGATTTTTGTTTTTGTTCTGGTTAGAAACTCACGTGTGCTATGTCATCCAGACAGCTGAAGATGTACTTTCTGGCCTCTTTGGATTTAAGCCCCGTCTCTTTCTCGTGCTCTTCTGTCGTCTGGAGGAGAAACAGGAACATTAGGATAAACAGTCTGGAAGGATAGCCAGCGAACGTTTCTGCATTTGCATGTCTGCGACTTTGAAGTTTACGACTGGATTTGTTTCGACGAGAAGGAACGGAAAGGTCACGGCGTTGGATAAAACATACACCGGTAGCCTGAGCGGACTTTGCGTGCTCAAAGTGTTCCGACGGCGTTTTTGCTGGAAAGTTCACGTGGAGATAAATATTAGGCTTTAGGTTCATCTGAGCTTTATTTAGAGTGCGCTCGGCAGGTAGTCTAAACACAGGTTCACATTTCCCTGAGCTTTCCTCGGGGTTCGCTGGCTTTGGCCTGTTTTGAAAAGCTCACGCAGCTGTTTCCTATCGGGAATGTGCTGCCACTTCGTACTTTTTTCCCCCCTCTCTCGCAACGAGGACTTTCACTTCAATTTCCAATAAACAGGCAGCTTTCCACTGCAGGAACTTTGAGGAGGAAGCAAACATTTACAGGAACAAACCCGTGATCGGGCCTTTCTGCTTCCACTGCATCAGCTTCAACGTCAAACGCTCCAAATAGAGAGTTAACGAACAAAGCTCAGTGTCCAATGGAGGTTCGTTAGCGGCGTTGGAAAGAAGGCTGAAAAAAAAATTAACCAAGCAGAGTCGAAACGAGGAATCTTCTTAAACACTCGGCAGCATTATCAATAAATAATCGACTAATGGCTAAAAGGAACTGCAGCAGATTTTATTCTACATGATCAGGACATTCATAACCACACACAAGCTGCTCAGTTGTAGGAACTCTAGTTGACTCGGGTTCATCGAGCTTATGTGAGCTCTGAACAGAGGCATTAACCCTTTAACACTACAGCTTGCTATAAGCGCTACGGCGACTTCCTGTTACATTCATTTTGATTGGCTATCAGTGGGAATCCCCGCATGTGAACAAGAGATTCAGTCATTAAATAATGACAATAATTGCATATGGGGTTCTCGCCAGCGGCAGAGTAACGAGCCGTCACGCTCCTGCCTGAGAAAACTACGCAGCAAACTGGGCGATACGCTGTTTTCTAGGGTACGCTAATGCTGCTATTCTCTAGCGTATTTGCCGCTAACCACTAGCAGCATTCCCGGGACGAAGACGTGTTGAAGGGGTGTGTCAAGCCAAAGTTACTCAGTGCTGAAAGGGTTAACCGCCACAGAAGACTCTGTCATGGCGGCCCTTTGCTCGGTCAACTTGGACCTGCCCACAGTAGACGTAACATTCGCAACTTCAGCTCTTGAAAAACTGTCTAAGGCGACTCTGGCTGGTCTTGATTACGGGAGCTTCAGCTGGAAGCCGTGAACCTCCACAGACCTCTTTTCATGGTGGCCCCTTGCTAGCTAAAGCCCCATAATGCTCTCTGCTTCCCAACACTGGACGACCTGGAGTCCAACCACAAGGGGTCATTTCAGTGTTAAACAAACTGCATACTTTAATTTCTACTCAATTCAATTTTATTTGTATAGCGCAACAAGTCATCTCATAGCGCTTCACAAAGGCAGAAACACCCAACAATCCCAAACATCTGGTTTCCCTATAAGCTTCAGCAGTCTGCTGGTGGGAAGGAACCGAAAACCTCCGACAGAACCGGGCTCAGGGAGGGACGGCCATCTGCCTCCACCAGTTGGGTGGATGTAGGATGAATTATAACATTTAGTTTACAGTTAAACAAGTTATTAGAAGTTATTGTCCTTTTGTAACAGGAGGCATCATGGTTACTCAGAGTAACCCTGTGTGACATCGCTACCTACCACACCTGTGCAATACCTAGAGGAACAGAAGACCGTATTTAAGCATATTTGTGGTTTATTTAGTATTTGTCTGCTGATGTTCCCCATGTTTTTTACCCTCTTGGCTAAGATAAGATAACGCTTTATGGGTCCCTCACATGTTACAGCGGCTAGATTCAAGCACAGCACAATAAAAAGAGAGATGCAATACAAAAGTACCATAAAGATAAAAGAGGAAATGTACACCTTTCACATGTACAGATAGGACCTGGCGGGCCCAGCTGTACAGCAAACGGTGTGCAAAACTGTGTAACATTACTTTAAATGCACTAGAAGAGTCATACGGCGAAGGATCAACGTACTCTTTGACGTCCGTTTAATTCATTCACAGCAGCTAACATCCCTAGTCCAGACCTGTGCAGCAGGTTTTCAGGGCCGCTCAGGAGAAACTACCCTGGACTAGGATCTTGTTTCTCACCTAAGAAGAACTCTAAAAAAAGAGGTTCTACAGGGGCGGTTCTTGTGGTCGGAAGGTTCAATCCTCCCACAATTTCCTGCATAAACAGCCTCATATCTCCTATTTTTTCCACTTTAAATCTTCCCCTCCCGCTGTATCTGTGTCACATGTGTAAATAATATGCATTTGCAGCTCTACACTACGTTGTGTGTGTGTGTGTGTGTGTGTGTGTGTGTGTGTGCACGCGTACTTTTAGTCTCCAGGAGGCGTACGGAGAGTCGGATTCTTTGGAGAAGAAGCGAGACGTCTTGGTCCCCTTCTTGAGCAGCTGCTCGGCCGGCAAACCCTGAGTCTGAGAGATGTACCGGATCTGGGCAAGAAACGCAGGAAGGAAGAGGCAGGGATTAGGAAAATGAACAGGAAAAGTCACAGACACTTAGGAGTAATCGACCTGGACGTAACTCGTTTTGCTCGATTACTAAATCCGTTTAGCTCGGCAGATGTTTGCGCCGGCAAACGTGGACCTGCACGCAAACTATTTTCGACAGAGAACATACCGTGACACATTACCTACACAACGTTAACTTATGCTATACTCTGCTGGAGCTCGTCCAGGAGCTGATCTGTAAGTCGCCTGATATTTAATACGAGAGTCCTGGCGCTCCAACCTTTACCGCTCTGCCAAACGGACATAGCTCGAGCGATTCACAGGCTCGAGGCGGATGCAGTGAATAAACCACGCAGTCAGAGGGAGGTCAGAGGCCAGCAGCAGTTAAAAACAACTACTGAATGCTCTTCAGCTGATGACAGAGCCCTGTGTACAGATCCTAAAGTGACGGATGAGAATGTTTCAGTCTTTTCTCTCATGCTCACGAGGCAAGACTTTGTTTGCTGCTAGAAAGTCTGATCTACATTCACGACAAGGTTCAGATCTCGAACTACACGACCTGTCCGTGACTGAGCTGGACCGAATCGCTAAACCATAAAAAAATCTGTTGTTTCTCTCGTGTTTTAAGGCAATCGAGTTCTGGTTTCCACCACAGATTGATTTGTAAGTTCTAAAATATGTCCTGATACGCTGCTCCAGAAGTTTCCCAGATCTGGGTCGACTTTTTCCCATAAAAAGAAAAAAATCCCTCAAACTCTCTGGGCCTCGACCGACTTGACAGCCCGTCTCAGAACACCACGGTCCTCCAGAAACTCTGTGACGAACAGAAATCAGGCGGTGACTGGTTCAGGTATGTGTTCTGCCAAATTTAGATTGATTGTTTGGATTTTGTTTACTTCCTGTAGGAGGGGACAGAGGGACAAATCTATACGAGTGCATCTCCTAACACTGGAACATCCTGAGTGGTTTGAATATTTACAGCTTATTTAAGAAATTAAACATGTTTTTATGCTTTCATTTTGATTATGGCTCATGAAACGGTATTCATCAAGTCCAAAGCCAACAGAGCCGTCCACCTGGAGATTTTAGAGCACTTTACACTTGTTTATTGATTTATAAGTTCTCAAATATGGCAAATTTCCCAAATCTGGGTCGAATTTTTCCCCCCAAAAAAGTCCCTCAAACTCCCTGGGCCTTGTCTGTCAGAACACCACGGTCCTCCAGAAACTCTGTGACGAACAGAAATCAGGCGGTGACGGGTTCAGGTATGTGTTCTGCCAAATTCTGATAGATTTTGTTTACTTCCTTCAGGAGGGAACAGAGGGACAAATCTATACCAGTGCACATCAAAACATTGGAGTAGGTTAGATATTTCCAACTGGCTATTTTAGAAATTATGGCTTATAGCTCACGAAAATTAAAAAACAAAAGCGTTATCAAGTCCAAAGCTGCCCACCTGGACATTTTGGAGCACTTTATGCTTGTTTATTGATTTGTCAGTTCTAAAATATGTCAGATTTCCCAGATGTGGTTCGACTCTTTCCCCTGAAAAAGTCCCTCAAACTCTCCTCTGTCCGAACGCCACCATCCTCCAGAAACTCCCTGACCAATCCTACGGCTGCAGGTTATACGATGTGTGTGTGTGTGTGTGTGTGTGTGTGCACGTGGCCTAGAACAAACACGCCGACCGGCCGCCGAGAACCTGCTGATGGTGCACTGACCGCCGGTGTGTGTGTGTGTGTGTGTGTGTGTGCGCAGGCGTCTGCGTGCACGAGCCCCAGTGCGCACATGTCTAGCATCGGGCTTATGTTTATAAATACATTTTGCTGTGTAGAGGGGAACTGCAGCGGGCCTTGGCATAGGGCGGCATGCTTTCAGGGGCTCGGTGTGCACGAGGGTGTCCTGGCACGGCGATGCAACAAACCACTACCTCCGGCTGACGGCTGAGCTGTGAGCTGCTGCTGATGATGACGCCTCCCAAAGAAACACAACATGCACAATGATTGTAATCAAGGAAACCGATATTTGGCACCGATATACGAAAAATATGTTTTATCAACACGTGAGAGCAGAATGCTGTCATTCATAACTTCGATAACAAGGTTGACAATACCTGAATCTGTGCAACAGAAATAAGAATTAATCATGTTTAAAGATTTATTATATATAATAAATACAAAATTATTACATTAAGATGCTCTTGTTTTGTTTATCTTCTCTATTTTCTAATTATTTTACTGTTCCATCACTGTTATTGCACATTAAGGTCCAGTGAATCTGTGGCTGCCTTCTGACTTAGCCGATAGCCTTAGCTGCTAGCCGTTAGCATAGCCTGTGGGAGGAGCTAACTTCCCGGTTTGTGGCGTCAGCTCGAGTTTCTTGAGACATTTCTGAGACCACAGAGAGACTAAAGACGGAGAGAGGAGGCTGCATCGGCGCATTTAATTTACCAATAATCAGTCAATTAAAAACTCCGACACAGATAATCAGAAAAATGTCGATGATCAGCCAGCGGCTCCGTCCCCAACACGAAGCAACAAACGAGCTTTAAAAAATGTTAATGACGGAGCTTGTGTAATGGAAGTACAGCCAATCTCAAACATTTGGTTTGGCAAACGGCGCTTCACAGATAACCATAAAGGGCCAGATATCACTTTCACCGGGCCGTTCCAGAGTTTCTGAAGCCGCTAACTGAAACCAGGCCGAGCGCGGGACGGTCCGCGGCCGGCCTGTGAACGCGGCGCGGCCCTGTTCCCATGCTCCCTCTCCCCCGCCGAGGGACTCCGCTCAGGGTCCCAGTTGTGCAGTTCAGACCGCGCAACCCTGTGGGAAGATAATCACACGTTGCCAAGAACAATTTCCTGATTCACTCTGCTCAGATTAGCATTAGGTGGATTTCATGCTGGATTTGTTGGACCTCAGCGAGACAGAGAGAGGGAGGGAGAGATCAGCGAGCGACAACAAATAAAGGTTTAACCGTTTAATGAATGCGCTGGTGAGCTTCAGCTGCTGGGAAAACAGACGCATAACGAGGTTAGGCGTGTGTGTTCTGCAGCAGTTGATTGATTTTTTCCTCAGCACATAAACACTAGACGATGTCAAAACATGAGATAAAGTTCACTACCTTCCACCGGTTATGAGACAAAGTGAAAGCTGAATATATTCTACACATATTTCAAGACTTTTTCACTTAAAGCTCAAGAAAGAGTCGATGCAGCCGTCTACCTGGAGATTCTGGAACACTTCATGCTTCCATCCGCTAACAAGCTTCATGGAGACGCTAATTTCCTCTTCCAGTGGGATTTAACGGATATTTCAACGTGGTTTTTATGGTTTTAACTTAAATGATCATGGCTTTAGGCTAAAAAAAAAAATCGAAAACAAAACAGTGTTTTATTAAGTCAGTGCAGCCCTTCATGCTTCCATCTGCTGACAAGCTTCATGGAGATGCTAACTTCCTCATCTAGCTGAATTTAATGGATATTTAAACCCTTTTTTGTGGTTTTAATTTCAATGATTGTGGCTTATAAAAATCAAAAACAGTGTTCTATCAAGTCAATGCAGCTGTCTACCTGGAGATTTTAGAACACTAAACACTTCTACCAGCTTCATAGAGATGTCGATTTTCTTTCCCAGCAGGACCAAAAGTGCTCCCAAATGATTTCCTGCCCATGGTACTACTGGTACCACTAACTCCATAGAAATGGTCATAATTCTACAGTAACTCATGGCAAAGGAGCCCAAAACCAAGCATTGAGAATATAAACTAATGTTTTTGACATTTCTGTTTGGTAAATCCTTTTAACATTCCAATAATTTGAGATGCTGGACTTGTGATTTTCATACTTGAAAGTCTTGAACATTCCACATTTCCCACTTTCTCAAATTGAAAAACCTAAAATGTCGTGAAACAAGTTGGCTTTCCGAGTGCATTCAGGGCAGCTCCGGCAGCTCGTAGCCGTGGTCCGAGTGTGAGGAATGTTACCTGGTCATACTCCAGCGCTCCGGGGTAAAGAGGCCAGCCCAGGAAGAGCTCGGCTATCACACAGCCCAGTGACCACATGTCGATGGCCTCGCAAAATGGCAGGCCCAAAATAATCTCCGGAGCCCTGCGGAGAGAAAAGACAAGCGGGAAAGGTTACGTCGGGGAGTTGGTGTCCAAGTATTAATCCAAAACCAGGACAGCATGTCTACGGGTTCAACAGCGAAACGCTTCTGTGGAACTGAAAACTAAAAATAGACAACTGCTGCAACCTCGCATTGTGTTTCCTACACAGAGACCTTAAACTCCAGCGTCTACCAAACCCCAAACATCAGGAAGCTCTGCAGCAAACCCATCCGTCGAGTTATAAACACAAAAGCAGCAGAATAAACTAGAGGTCGACTGACAGGGCGTTTCCATGGTCGATATTAGAAATGCAAATTCTAAACAATTTTAATAATAACTGATAGTCTGCAGCGTCATCAATCAATAACCAAATCGTTAAATTAATGTATCGCACCTCGTAGACGTGTAATCACAGATATGCGACATTCACTGTCGGCTCGTCTGGATTACAGGAGCTCTGGCGGTCATTAACGATCACAGAAGTCTGTCATGGTGCCCGTTGCGAGCTAAACTCCCACAATGCTCTACAGTGAGGCTCCACCTGGTGGAACAACCAGGTACTACAGCTGATCTACAATACATTTACTAACATGAACATGCTTTGTTTTCTGGTTTATCGGTTCATATATCTGATCAGATACACTGTAAACAGTTACCCATTAACACGCCCAGACTATCCCAACATCAATTCTTAGTAATCGAAGAAAGACACCATTAACCATCAAAAAGTCTCTGCCGTGGTCCCGTTGCTAGCTAAACTCCCACAATGCTCTCTGCTGCTAACACAAAGCCGCCAGTAACTTGAGTGACGCCTCCTCCGATCTCAAGAGGCTCCACCTGGTGGAACAACCAGGTACTGCAGCTGAGCTACGATACATTTACTAACATGAATATACTTTGTTTTCCAATTTATCGGTTCATATAATTGATCAGTTACACAGGAGTATTACCCATAAACATATCTAGACTATCCCAATATCAAGAGACCATTAACCAACAAATAAAAAATCTTGCTTTAAAATTTTACATCTGTTTAATTAAACAGCAAGTTTTCTACATTTATCCTTCGGTGTTGATTGGATATTGCTCAGGACTCGCAACCAATCGTATCAGAGAGTAGGGAGCACGAAGAGGCTGCATCAGAGGCAAAATAGTACATTTTTAAATTAAAAAAAAACCACCAGACAATTAGAAAAACGCTGAATATCAGATCTGGTAATCGCTCAGACCCTAGTATAAATGAACAACGCAACAGGACCGCGTGTTTGCTAATTAGTGCTGAAACACGGTAGAAACAAGAGTAACAGAAAATTAATCACGACAGACGATACGTCAGTGATTGTTTTAAATATACGTGGAAAATAGAACGATAACAAGGTTTTATCGCTTCAACATCAAAGAACGCTGCCGTCCTTGGATTTCACTTCCAGTTAAACCTAAATGAGAAGTAAAAACAAAAAGTTCTTATCTCAGGATGTGCACAGATATAAACACAGAAAGATCAAACAGGAAGCTCGACTCATTCTTACTGCTAAGAGCATATCTGTTTTAGGCAGCATTCATCAACAGATTAAACTGTCTGTAAAGGTTTTAGCCATTTTTATATCATAATCAAGCTACAGGAGAAACCTTTTGTGCCTTAAACACATCTTAATAAAAAACAAAACTGTCTTTAATCATCCTTTCTTCTCATGAGGAAGACGAGGCCTCTTAGAAAGTGAGAGGAGTGGACATCTGTAGTTTTCAGAATGTCTGAGGGTAACAGGATTCACATCTCATATGACACTGACCTATTTCTTGTATTAAATTAGATTTAAATCAGCTGGAGATTCACTTCAGAGCGCCATAATTGTTGAGAAAACGCCAGAAATTAGCGTTTCGGGACACTCTGCCCCCCTGTGACTAAATACTACACCGTGTGACGTGCACGCCGGCTTCCTGCAACAAAGAACAAATCTCTCCAAACAAACGGACTTTGCCACTTGCGCAAACGGGGCTGGTGATCTTGCAGCCGTGGCGTGAAAACAACCGCTGCCGTGACGACCGCATGCGGGAGGGGGGAGGTGGGGGATGACGGTTGCTGGGCGACGGCTGGACGCAGGACCACAACGCGTTACGATCGATGTGTGCGCGCGCAGAGATTGTGTGTCTGCACGCACATACAGAAACGCAGACGTCAAATCCGCCGCCTTCTGCCCTCCCTGGCCTGGAGGAAATTGCACTTTGCCATTTCCTATTACTCCCCGAAGAGGAAGAAGTTCAGTTATGCAACAACAAACCGGAGCCTTGGGGGAAGACGGCCTCCAACGTTTACAGAATAATCCTCCACAGCACCGATTGCTGTGTTCCTTGTTCTAAGTGACTTTTAAGTGGCGGATTTGCCCCAAGACCAAAGCAAAAAAAAAAAAAAAGACGTCAGACCACACAAATAAATGCTGTTTGGACACAAAGAGAAAGCTGTTTTGACAAAGTGAGAGGTCTTAAATCTGGACAAAGGAGCAGTAAAAGTGCACTTAAACGCTCAGCCAGAAGAATAAACGACGACGATTTCACAGCCCTGGTGGAGGAACTGCACAGCGGCAGCACACGAGTCAGCTCAGGCCAGACGAGGGAGTTGCTCAAGACTAAAATAAAAAAAAAAAAAAAACAACCTTAAACCAATGTACTGTGCTGTTTTAGGAAAAGGGAACTGTACATCGGCACCACAGGGCATCTGCTGGGGCCCAATATGTCTCGTTAAAGCCACAGAAATAAACAGCTTTTTAATCAAGCTTTGTGCTTAAGTTTGTAGGTAGAGTTTATATCAGTTCAATTATTGGTTATTGATCCTTTTGATGACTAATAATCTGTATGAAACAACACAGGTGAACCTCCACAACTTGCTCCTAAAACAAAATGAGTTATGATAATGTAGAATTAATGTCATGTTACCTCCGTTACTCTCTCATTAATGGACATAAAAATAATGAACAAAATGTCATGTTTATTAGGCACAAAGCTGTTTGAGCGGCACCACATGCACGGCACCCGCTGTCGCTTAATAGGTATGTAAAACAGGAATAATTAGGGCCATTTTAGTGAGAGTTATTGCTGTTGTATTCTAAATTTCGACATGAAGATTCACATTTTTCACTGGAAACGCACATCGGTTCCAAACACGGGTGATCCCTGCAGGTTCGTACCCAAAACAAAACATAAAATCTCCGATAAATGTAACGCACAGGACAAATAAAAACAAACTAAACGCTAAATGTCTTTACTGGCTCACTAATCGAATGCTTGTTGAGCACAAAGAACGAGCCGTCTGGACACAAGAGGCAATAAAAATGCACTTTAAACTCAACCCAGAGGAAAATCAGCCCAAAAACAACAACAACACGAATCCACACTCGATTAAACTGCAAATAAAGACTCTGTGGAGGAACTGCACGCCAGTCGGCTCGGCCCAAATTAGGCAAGACTACAAAACCAGAAGAGGGAACCGTCCGCTGGCATCACATGCTGTTGCTTAATATGTTCGGCTTTTTAGTAAATCAGGAAGATCACGCTCACTTAATCTGCAGAAAACAAATAAAAACAACACCGTAGGAAACGACACAACGGGGACTACCGAAGCCGATGTTCTGAGCAGAAGGAACTGTACGTTGGCACCACGTGCTGTTGCTTAATATGCGAGGTCATTAAAGTTTCTTATTTGGGAAGACGTGCCCACGCAACGCTCTGCTCAACACTGAAATATACTTCTTTGGTTTTTTCTCCTCCTTTTGAGTTACACAACATCATTTTCCCAGCAATTACCAGAGCTTCACGCCTGTATCACCCGTTTCCAAAACGAGAGGGAGGAGTGTCAGCTGCAGGTAATAAATATAATAACTGTTCTTTACGGGCTTACAGCAAAGATTAGCAAACGTATGCATCACCAGGGAGGGGAAAGGGATCGAGAGGAGTGTGTTTGTGTGCTACACTGCCAGGCATAAAAGCTGCTGCAATGGCCTCTGCTTTCCAGAGCGCTAACAGCTCATCACACAACACGAGCCGAACACACCCACAGGTGTTTGGCAGGCGGACCAGGTTCCAGAACTAGCTAGTCACACCGGAGAGCCGCGGCAGGAGCAAACACAGCGAGGGGACGACTGCAGGCACCGCGTCCCCGCCGTCGCACCGCGTTCATGTAAATCCGAGGGATGTCGAACACGACGTGGTGGCGGCAGCGCGGGACAGGTGAACCCTGCGCTTTAACACCTGTAGGCTGAAGCCGAGCCACGACGATCACGTATCAAACAAATCCGAGTCGTCCGACGTGAGCGGATCGAGTTACAGAATGTGCAGCAACCAGGACGTAAAAGCTCACCTGAAAGACCTCTGCAGCTCAAAAACACTAATAAAACGTGCTCCTTTTTTAGTGAGATTAACACTAACAATGTAGTTTTTCTTTAGCACTAATAACGTTAACTCTAACAATGAGCACTATAAACAGCTCTGTGCCACTATGTTGCAGGAGAAACGGCACCAATAACAAGCTAGCGCATTAAACCAGTCTCCTGCACAACTAGGCTGGTGTCGATTATATAAACGAGCATCCGTTACATCTAAGCCCCCGTCAGACAAGTTCACACAAAGCCGACTGACCTGCTAAAACGCTCCCACGTCGGAGGTTTTAATCTGGTTTACGTTGCAACATTTCGATACCGCTAGCGGCGGCGTTGCGTGGCGGCGTTTAGAGCCGATGCAGACTAACACACAAAACACTAACTTCAACATGAAACTTCTGTTTTACGCATTTAACTGAAAGATAGCTTTTCAATATTTATCCTGGAGAAGCAATAAGACAAAAGAAAAAAAAAAAAAAAGAGTTAATTGGAAAACTGCTAAACATGTTTATTTTTATTAATTAAGCAGTTAGTTGTTTGGTTGATAAACTGGTCAAAAAAAACAAAAACAAATGTCATTTAATGTTTTCCAAAATCTAAAATTAAAAACGAAGATATTCAGTTTGTCACA